TTTGGTAGACCAAGTAATTACTTGGTAAGAGGGGAATTGGGTGTAATTGAAGGGGAGTAATTACACTCCTCAATTCCCAAGGGAGAGTAAGGAATTGAGTGTAATTACACCATGTAATTACATGAATTTTTTAATATTATATTTTTTAAATATATTTTTGTTTGGAAAAGACACTTCTTCCTTTTTTGTCTGCACATTTCCATTTCTAAGAACGGCAGCACAGCAACAAGCCATGTACTTCTTCTTTCAAGTAAGATTTATTTCTTGATTCATTTTACTTTCATATTTTGATGTCTAGGTAGATTATGTATGAATTTTATTTTTGTATTTTCTCCTGTTAGTTTTGAGATTAAAATAAATATGAGAATTAATTTTTTTTTCTTTAATTTCTGATAATAATAATAATAATAATAATAATAATAATAATAATAATAATAATAATAATAATAATAATAATAATAATAATAATAATAATAATAATAATAATAATAATAATAATAATAATAATAATAATAATAATAATAATAATAATAATAATAATAATAATAATTATTAAAAAATCGATTCTAACAATCAGTTATATATAGTAATATTATTTATTCAAAATCTGATCTATTTTAAAATTTAACTGTGTAATTACATTCGTCCAACCAAACAGGACAAAGGGAATTACACTGTAATTACACTGTGACAACCAAACAGGTCAATGAAATTACTAGACTGTGTAATTACTAGGCTAGTAATTACTACCCTAGTAATTACACCAATTCCAATTACCAGGTGGCTTTCCAAACAGACCCTAAAGGAGGATAAATTGATAAGGGCGGATGATTAATAAACTTTCAAATGGGAAAGATTTTAAGGATGCGATTCATACGACACTTTAGATGATTCTTCCATTATAATAGGAGAAAAACGTAAACAATTTTATAAGATATAACTCAAGTTTTATATGCATGATATGCTTGTTTTTGAGATCAATGTGTAACGTAGTGCAAAAATGATAAATCTTGTAAGCGTCTATCTAAATCCAAAATGAACAATGCGTGTTATGGACTTGAAATATGACAATTTGTGCATACTTTAATTCATAGTACGAATAATAATTATCTTTTATCAACAAGCTAGTTGGTATCGAGTAACTCTGTCTATCCAGAATAAATGAGATAATGATCGAAAAAGCATAATACCAGGACAAGTGTGTTATTATAGGATTGTAAACCATGTAATAAAATGTCTTTTAAAAAAAAAAATGCACAGAAGAACAATTGCAAGAGTATACAGCAATAAATTGACAAAAGTATATAATTCCAATGCAGGTGATGAATTCTTCAAAGTCATCATCTACTCGTATTTGATGAATCCACCATATCACTGCGTGCATTTATATATATTATATGTTATTAAGAAAGAGAGAGAAAGGATGTGGAGAACATTATGGGCATCCATTAACATATTCCAGTAATATTTAAATACATTAACAAAATCAAGATTAGCCTGGTATAAAGATTAACTTTTTCTAAACTAGTTTGACTAATATAACTTTTGACTGTTTTAATCATTATACTAACGGTTTTGTTATACTTGTCTTTTTAAAGTTGAGTCCAGATACTTTCGGTTTTATCGCCAGCCCCTCATTTGGTAACAAATTATATACTCCCTCCGTTTCACTATTTTACGTGACATTCATTCCTTTTTAATTCGTTTTTAAAAATGTCTTTTTACTGTAACTAGAAACAATTCAACTTTGAAATCATATAAATATTTAAGGATTATTTTTTATCACAAATTTCAAAAGTCCTCATTTTTTCCTTAAACATCGTGTCAAGTCAAATGGTGTCACATAAAATAGAACGGAGGGAGTACTATAATGAGAAAAAAGAATGATTTCTTTTCATCTTTTTTCCTCTAGGTGGAGTATTATTATACTCTCTCCGTTCTAATTTGTTTATCTTAATTACTATCATATAACTTTTAGTACAATTAAAGATTTTATATCTAAGTTCACGTCGAATTAAGTCATATAAATTGAAACAGAGCGGGTAATAGAAAAGAAGAAAATAGGCTACTAGGGTCAAAGGGATCTTAACTGGTCTCACGACATGTTTTTTTTCTTCTGGGCTGTTAGGACAGTTGGCCATGTAACAGCTTACTATGAATATTGGAATCGTTAAGAGAACGTGGGGTGATGTGTAGGAATATTATTCTCTATTCTTTTTTGATAAGAGTCTTGAACTTTATATTAAATTGAACAATTTTTTTATTTTGTGTATATTTATTTTTAATAAATTGAACAATAGTCCTGAAGTGGTCACGAAAACATCGGACCATTGTCACACAGACAGAATATTTACGTACGATTTCTATATATATGAAATTATACTACAAAGCTAAGATAGCTAGTCCGATCAATCATACTGTGAAGAAATGACTTGTCTGCTCCATAAAAAGCAATATAGAAGAGGCAAAATGTCTTCAAATAGGATTTAAGTTATATATTTATACTAATAATGCTAATACTTTTTAAACTTATAATATCAGGTTAGTTATCGTTTCACTAGATTATTAATTAGTGCAATTTTTAAAATGCATTTGCAATTTTTCGATTTAGCATGAAAATAGTTCGTATCAATCAATCCTATGATAACTTCTCAAAACTATTCTTGACTGAAAAATGACTATGAATATATGAAATATTCAGTTCAAGGGTTTCTAAGCACGAAGAGTACTACTAGTTTCTCGAACTCTAAACCATTCAGAGTGAGGCATTTGATGGAAGACTTGAATCAAAATATCAATATCGAGAACGATCTCGAAACAATGGCTAAAGGTTTGGTGATCTTTATTTTGCTACAATTTTACTATTGTATATCATCAATTAATACATAGGAGTAGTTAAACCGGATCAAAGTAAATGCTCAGAACCAAAAACATGGTAAAATTAATGATGAGGAGGGTGGACCATTGATTGTGAAGGTCTTAATTTAGTTAGTACACAATAAAAACCAAATGTGGGTGGTTCATTAGGGTTTAACTAAATAAGGGAATACGATTCTCCCAACTGGTCTTGCAACTAGTACAACGTCATCAATAATGATACTTAAAAAAAGTTGTATACAATCTTCAAAGTATGTGGACCCCCATTATCAAAATTCCACCTACATATTCAAGAAAATCTTGATTATTATATAGAATAACAACAATTATTATTCAATATACAATAATGTAAACTAATGAAAAAATGAGAATGAGTTAGGGGTTAAGACAGTGGCCAAATTATACAAAAGAAAACATAAAGAAGAGAACGATAAAATTGTTAGGGGTCGTTTGGTTTGAATATGAGTTATGATGGGATAAGTTATGTTGGAATAAGTTATGTTGAGATTAGTTATGATGGGATAAGTTATCTTGGGATTATTTCTTATTGAGTGTTTGGTTTGTTATATTCAAAATAATATATATTGATAAATTTTAAGAACAAGTTGTTTGTTTACAAAATTACCCCACTTTATTTAAACTTTTTAAATATTTCTTTGTGAACTTTAGTTATTCGTTTTTTAAAATAAAACTTTTATTTTATTTAACTTAAATATTTTTCTTTATGTATTCCCATGATAAGTACCATGTGTATTTAAAAATATAACTTTTTTCTTATTTAGCTTAAAAATAGAACTTCCCTCTTAAGTTTATTAAAGAGAAGAAAATTTATGAGAAATCAAAAATAAAAATAAAACAATAAGAATTAGTCAAAATAAAATTCATAAATAAAAAATTAATATTTATATAGTATAATTTTTTAATAGAAAATATGTATAATTATCATAAAAATAAGGAGTAGTAAATATTATTATACATGGTATTAAAAAAATGTAAATATACATAAATGTAAAAAATGATGTATAAAAAGGATTTAAAGGGACATATTTGTCATTTTACCTATTTTATCTTGGGATAAGTTATCCCGGGATTACTATACCACCCATGGGAGGGATAACTTATCCCGGTACTAATTATTAATCCCGGGATAAGTTATCCCGGACTTGCCAACCAAACAACATAATTTTTTTTTATCCCATCACTATTTCCTTATCCCATCACTATTATTTCTAATCCCTCACACCAAACGAGCCCTTAGGGTATTGTCCTCATTTTCTTACCGTATTTGAAGTTTATTTTTTTCTAAAAGAAAAGACAAAACATTACCATAAATATTTTATTTTTTCTAAAAGGAAAATATAATTTTCTTCCATATTTGATTTATTCTTTCCTTAGATGAAAAGATAGGAGATCTATAAATTGAAGACCCCTCTTCTCATATCATAGAACACAATAGAATCCACAATGTAGTCGTTTATAAAATTATTTATGGAAAGATTTTCTTCTAAACATATTTATGTTTTTTTTAATATTATATTAGTTTTACTAATATATAGGTCGTTTGACTAAACTATATTAATAATATATTTTTAGTATACTTTTATTTATCATCTAATTTATCATCATATAATTTACAAATTATAAGCTTCCGCATAACGCCCTAATCACCCTTCATAACCCAACAAAAAACAACTATAGAGATTAGAAAGAACAGAGTAAACTATTGAAAGAGAGAAGAGTATTTTTAATGCTTAGACAGAGTGGACAGAGTCAAGTGCTTCTAGTCGCGCAGCTGTCATTCGTTGCCCCGTCCCTCAACAACAATTTATCTGAATTCAATACTTTTAATATTATTATAAAAGTGAAGTTAGATTTTTAACGAATTTTTAGTATTATAACGATGATTTCAAGTGTTAATAACTAAATTCATTATATTTTATTAGATAATTTTTTAAATATAAATATATTATTTAAGCAAAAACTACTGAATTCGATTGAAAAAAAAATATCCGTCAATTTGGTTTTGTGGGCCCAACACCCTATCTGCCTTAAGAGTTTGCAGCTGTCGAATCCCTCTCTCTCCTCCAAAACATTTTATTTGTTAAACATCAGCAATAATTTATAAACATTTCCCACTAAGTTATATCTGTTCCTTCCCACCCTTTTTCTCTCTCCATGATCTTTTTCTGCTAGCTACAAGACTGAGAGAAAGGGAGAGAAGAAAAAAAGAGAGTAGACATTACAGGAGAAGAAGAAGAAGAAGTACAAACAAGATATGCCATTGTCTATCCATTCCATATTATCGATCTTCTAATTGCTTGAATAACAAGTCTAGTTTAATTGGAAGTTTTTAGATGCATTAATGGCGTATCAACATTATCGATCACCATTTGGGGACACAACTTACACAAAAGTTTTCGTTGGCGGATTAGCATGGGAGACTCCAACGGATGTAATGCGCCGGTATTTCGAGCAATTTGGAGAGATTCTTGAAGCTGTCATTATCACTGATAAAAACACCGGCAAATCTAAAGGATATGGCTTCGTAAGTTGTATTCACATTTTTTATTTTTTTAAATTAATCGATCATTTACAATTTTGTGTGAATACGAGATGCTTTTGTTTTTGGTACGGCAGGTAACTTATCGTGATCCGGAATCTGCTAGACGGGCTTGTGATAACCCGAATCCGGTAATTGATGGAAGAAGAGCTAACTGTAACATCGCTTCTCTTGGACGGCCTCGCCCTTCACCACCTCGAGGTACTCATCTTTTTCTGTCTATTTTGACTAGTCAAACTTCATTCCTCGATTATCCCACCACATTGTACATATATACAATAACAATAATTATGTCACTGAATTGAAATAGAGAAATACAAAGAATCTTAGTAGCTTATTGAATCGATAAATAATTTCCCGGCCTTCCTAATTCTTATTTTATTTTTAAAAAAAAATAAAAAAAATGGAGGGAGTAATTATCTTGTTATTATTAAAGGTAGGGGACAAGGAGGGAATCCTTATCAAGGAGGGGGAATTCCACAAGGAGCATCATCATCATCTTATAGTGGGGTGGCAGGAGCAGCAGCAGCACCATTGCCATTACATCCACCACCTGCAACTCCTATGATATATTCACCATATGGGTAAGTATAATTAATTCGGTTTAATGGGTAATTATTAGTAAATAAAATGAGAATAAATAAATAAATATATGATGGTCCATGATCTGATAATATACTGCAGAAAGAAAAAGATGTGTGATAAAAATGGGCAGGCATTTGCCAGTGGTATAACAACTGAAAACCTCACATTGATGTTGTTGTTGTCGTCATCGTATGTCTTAATTTTTTATAATCATACAAATGGAAAGAAAATATAAATACATTATAGTATATATCATGAAGTGATTTTATTGAATGCAGGTTGGTATAGGCAGATCAATAATAAATAAAATTGATAAATGGTGACTGCTATGCAATGAGTTGTCAGTTGCAGACAACGTGCAATGCTTTTCTTTGATGTGTTGGATTTTGGCCAGTCTAAACTTATTATATATTACTCCTTAATTTTAAAATAAGATGATCATATATTTCAATGTTTTTATAAATTTTAGTTTGAAAATTACTACTATTATGATTGATTGAAAAGAGGGTTTTGGAATTTATAAGGAAACTCCAATTAGCTTACTTTTTTCTTTTTTTTTTGGAAAAATTAAAGATGAAAGTTAGGCTTGACCAGAGCTATTTTGACTTGCAGAAATTTTCTAACCAAATATATATTTTTTCTTCTTATTTTGGTATAGTTCGATACCTTTTCCTCTACTACTATTTCAACATTTTCTTGCAATATTTTTTTCACTTTTTACTGGCAAAGTATTCATTGTTAAATACTTAACTACTTAGTCCTTTCTTTTTTTGGGTTCCATTTATCTTAAAGCGTGTGACCAATCAGTATGGGTTATGGTGGTTAGAATTGCTTCATATTTAAAAGTTTCAAACTTGAGTTTTTGAGAATGAAATAAAAACTTTATTGGTAGTGCCACTCAAAAAATTGTACCTTACAATACACAAGTTTAAATTTAGTCGGATTTCAATCCAAATATCGAACACCACTCATCCAAAAGGCTATTGGAAAGAGCATATATATTTAATTTAGTGATCCGACCATCTTTACATGCCCACAACGAACTTGTTTTGTTTACTTTTGATAATTCTCTCTCCTCTCTCTTTCTCTCTTTTTTATGTGACACAAAAAAGGCTGAACAAACCTTGTGCTTTAGGTCAATTTTGCTTGTACTTTGATCAAAGGCGTGAATGTTATAGGTAGCACGAGTGGAACAAAGTAACTAGCAATATTATACCACTCACCATATGATATCTGACAATGTACATTGCACTCTTTCAATAACCCATTCCAAATAATAATACCTTGCTTTAATTTTAATCATCACCATGAATTAGCTAGCTTTTTATTCACCTTATTTGAATTTCTGTCTCCGTCATTGTCTCGTAAGTGTAAGTATATAATTCGTAAACCATAACTATATTTTGTTTGAAATACGACTACTAAAATATGTCGACTTATACAGTACAGGGTACGGTGTTGCATTTATGTATACGTAATTCCAACGTTTGGTACAGAGAGGTGCTTGTCGCTCCATTAATTGTTTTGTCTCACTTAACTTGTAACATGTTGAGAGTACTTAATACGTGAAAGCTACTTTCCAAGTTTCATTTTTGTACTACTATATATCTTAAACATTTTAATGTAATTTTATGTATGTACGTATAATATGGTTGATTCAACTTTAGAAAATATGCACCTTTGAAGTTGTATTATAAATGGAGTACTTTTATCTCATATATTCCTTTGGTGACTCGAACACATAATCTTAGAGTTGAAAATGGCGACTCTTCCACTTGTAACTAAACATAATCATTTCTTTTTTGAATATATATTTTGCAGGTATGCAACTTACCCTCCTGAATATTACCATCAAGTAAGTTCCCTTGGTCTATCCAACATATATACTATTGATGAGTCTGTCAAAGTGGTAATTGAAAATGACAATAGAGTGAAATTGAATTGATGAACAGGCCGCGGGGATGTACAATCCAGGGACGTACCAGCAAGCAGCAGCAGCAGCAGCAGCAGCGCATTATTATCAGCAAATGTATGGAAGTTCATCATCACCATCTCCTGCATATTATTACGGATATTCGATGCAGGGATCAAGGGGAACATTTTCTGCAGCAGCTACTGGACATCATCATCAACGCTTTCAAGGCCCAACTGCTTCTTATCTTTATTATCCTACTACTACTACTGCTGCTGCTACTGCTCATCACTTGCCAGCTGATGCTGCCTCTTTTACTCCGCCGCCTCCACCTCTACTCCAACATCCTCCTCCTCCTCATGCTGCACCTACAAGGCCTTCCCCTACTACTGGTAAGTACTCTTTCTCAATTTATATCTAGGTTACTAATCCACTTAACTTATTAAGAATGTTCATCTGTAATTATCTTTTGAGTGACGTGATAGAAGAGAAATTCTCTATATATAGGAGTTAAATTATTTAAGAAAACATTTAAAATATCAGGAACAATATATTGTGTGTAACTTGATTATTAAAACTACATAATAAGTTCTCACAATACGGATTTAAACGAATTTAATAGTTTTTTGCTTAGGCGGTCATATATTTGAATCAGAAAATGTAACATAGTAGTATAATTTATGAATTTAATAGTAATAAATTCAGAACATAAACTTTAAACTCTGACTTCTAACTCATTAACCTAAAGTTGGAGAAGAAACACTAAACAAGATGTATTACAATTATTATTATATTATAAAAAGATGCAAAGTGATTATACTTTTAATCCAGAATAATTGTTACAGTATGTTATAGTTGTAAACATTATAAAATGTGAAAAGGTATTAGTGTAAAGATAGAGAGGGGCATGTGGGGGAGCCTAAGCATGTGACATATGAGCTGTCTTGGGGAAGGTAGTGATGTATCAATGGGTCAAATGAAAATCATATGCCAGGGAGGCATGTGTGTGTATTTTCTTCCGATGAGTGTAAAATAACAGTAAATGCATGTGATTGGGTTATACAATTATCTAGGACTATATATATATATATATATTTATAATGGATGGTTCTCAATAGGCAGTGAATCACGTGGCTGAATATAATGCATATATATGAATCCCCCCACTATAATGTAAAATTTAAAACATTATGCTATTTTAGGTACAACATGTAACTAGTCACCCTCCTCTTCTTTCAGTGTATGTCCTCATTTAGGAGATTCAATGGTTACCACTCTTTTATAATATAGTTTGGACAACATTGATTATTTAATTTGGAAGGATTTATGCTCTTTTTTTTCCTGACTAATAGCCTATTTGAATAAGTTTTTGAAAGGTTAAAAGTGTGTTTTCAAAAAGTTAAGTGTTTAGCCAAGCTTTTGAGGAAAAAATATATGTTTTTGAAGTGTAATTTTTCAAAAGTAAAGCTTTTACCTAAAGAAATATTTTTTAAAAGTATTAAAAAAATATTACTTAGAAGCACTTTTAAACAGTTTTATCGAACACTTTTAAATTTATTGTTAAAAATGAATTGTTTTAGAACTCTTAATTAGCCGAATAATAGTATGGTGATGATTGATGAACATATATGAGTTAAAAGGTTGTGATAATTAGGTAGCAGACTCCAATTAATATGTCACAAGAATTATCTATTGACGATTATGTTTAGCAGTTAGCAACTTAGGATAATTGAGATACTCTTTCGTCTATTTTTACTTATTCAATATATTAAAAATAAATGTATGAAATTAAAAGATAATTTATTAATTTATACATATTTTATTCTTATTATTATTAAGTAAATAATTAGAAATGATATAGTAAAAATATCATTTTATTTTATTATTTTTTAAGAATATATCAAGTCAAATATAAACAAATAAACATGAACGGAGCGAGGGAGAAAAACATAAGTTAAAATTCAAGAGAGTCCTAATTGGAGAAATGAAAAATAAGTATTTTATTATACATTGATGACCAAATAAGGAAGTACATGCTACAAATAGATTGGTGAAATAAATGATACTCCATAGATTATGATTTTAAATTTATTTTCCTATTTAATATTCTTTTTCGTGTATTTTCCAGCTGTAGCTATTAATTCATGAAATTAATACAAAAACAACTTACTCCGTGTAGACTTAGTAAATTACAGCATGATCACTGTTTCTATTTTATCAACTAGTTTTATACGCTAAATAATTTGATATATATAATGTGTAGCTAATGACAACAAGATCAATAAATAGAAAACGAAAGGAAATTATCTCTTATGATTACTTACGAATGATCTCTTTTAAAAAGTTGTACACATTTTTACCTTTACCTTTAGTGGGTGGGGCTCGAATTCCGACGTATCCCCTCCCCCACCCCCTAATTTTGTTTTGAAGATAGAGATAATTATTTTTATATGTATTGGACTTTGTTAGGTAAATTGTCAAAATTGACTAATCTTTTGAGATATTAACTCTGATATTTTGTGTATAATTGTAAATGGCAGAATCTCAAATTCCACAGCAAACCACAGCTGAAACAACAGAAGTTGGGGCAGTGACTACTGAGAGTCCAAATACATAAAAAAGAGAGTACAATCAAGCTCATCATCATCAAAACATATTTATCAAGTCATCAAGCACGGTGAAAATAAAATTTTTAAAAAACTGTACAATCTTTAACAAAACAAAAAAAAAGAATTAACGAGACTTTACTCTATTTTCGAAAAAAGTCTATCCATTAATTTTTCTTAATTTGGTCCATGCATCCCACAAGGCAAAATTGATTTCAACAACAAGAAGAAATGGCTGATTGAACTACTCAGAGATATTATTACATGGCCAATTCATCTTTTATTTATTTCTTTAATTTTCAATTTTAAACATTTCAATTGTTGTTCATTTATTTATTTTTCATTTTTACTAAACATGGATCGATCCTTTTTATTACTGTACCAACAGTAGGACGGAAATATTAAGCTCTCAATAACGAATTTATGACATATTTACCCCCCTTTTTATTTAATTTGTCCTATTATATATGTATTCTTTATTTGATGTTTTCTCATTCCTAATCCTATATATGTGTAGTAGGCTATGATCATTTACTGATTTCCTTGTTTATTTACCAAGTTAAAATGATGGAAATGAAAAAAAATAGTTTCTTAAAGATGGTCTTTTTATTTGTTGAAGGGAAATTTACCTCTCCTGCTGGGAGCTTCCAGCCTTTCTGTTTTCTTGGTAACTTGAACTTAAAATCTTTTGATTGAAAGAGATGTATGCTTACCATCCGAGCAACTCCCTCTCGTTTTAGTATAATTAATAATGAAATTATACTTTGGAATAACGAAAATTGTAGTTGAGATGATCAAAGGCAACTACAACAAATTAAATGAGGAACATCATTACTCATATATTTAACATATATCAAGTATAGTATTACTTGTAAGGTTCAACATTGCTATAGGTTAGCCAACCAAGTCGTAGATGCTTATCAAAATGGAGTATTACAAACGAGGATTTGAATATTTTTGTACATGCTCATCTTCTATCGATGGTTATTGAACCTTAAAGACTTGATCTCATAGAAATGAAGTCTCTATGACAAAAACAAATGAAAAATTATTTATATATGTATAGAAATATATCAGTTAAAAAGTTAAATTATTATTTTTGTCTATTATGCTAGACTTGTATTAAATTCTTAATTCCGTCATTGCTTACTAATTCTTGATTTCGTCATTGCTTACTAGGGATACAAAAAAGTGATAATTTCTCTCGAAAATTAATACACCCCCAATTAAGATTTTCAATATATTAAAGACTTTTTTCCTTTTACTTCTTGTAAGTCAATAGGTCAGTAAATATTTCATATTCTATGAAACTTACATCCAAAAAGTAAGTAGTTCAGGTCAATATGTAGCTAAGGGGATGTCACTGATGGACCTAAGTTACTATAATTAACTAAACACAGAGTTATTTCATGGTTGACCTATGTAAGTTTGTTACAACATTAATTAATCTTTCTAGTACTAATTAATTAATGCCTCCTATTTGTGATACCTGCATTTCTCAAAACTTTTCTTACTCACTATCTCTATTTTTGTAAATTCAATTTATTTTGGGACCAATTCTTTTGAATCCACATCTAAAAATACAGTTGGTTAGGCGTATTAAATTAACTTTAATATACTATAAAATTTATGATTGCCTCCCCGGCACACGCCTATCCCAAAATTGATTTTTCTTTTCAACGTTATTAAGAAAATCACTAATGAAAATGAGGATTAATACATGCATTAGTAAGGAGTTAATATCTCAAAATGTCACTCAACTTTGAGAAATTATTTAGCAAAATCATTAAACTTTGTTTTGTATCAATAAAATCACTCAACTTAGAACTTTGTTTCAAAAAAGCACTCAACTAAATTTATAATTAAAATATTTTTTATGTCATGTTCATTATTAAAATAATAATAAAAAAATGTCTCAAAATTAATACTTCATTATAATTAATTTAACTAAGTACCCAAAACGAATAATAATTAATCTAAATGATTTTATTTATGTAAAGAAATCCTATTATCTATGTAAATTAACTACTGTAATTTGTTATGATTTTTTTAGATATTATTTAGAAGGAAAAAATAGGAGTAGTTAAATTACTAAAAAATAATCCATCAATGTGCGGACTTTCTGTAATGATCCAATTTGTTGGATGGATTTGTTGTACTGGTATGAGAAGTTATGGAAAGAGTATATTACAGTATTTTTAATTCGTGAATTTATAATGATCGCCGTGTTCTGCATGCTGAATCTTCTACTATTTTATGTTCTTCCCGAAAGATCAGAGTCTGTAACAGTAAGTTAAATTATGACTCTGATTTTACGTTTTGAAATGAAAAGGCAAGGGCTTAATTTGTTTTTAATTATTTTTTTTATCTTTAAAAGAAAATTTTAAAAGTGAAATTAGCATGATATAAAAAATAATTTTGTCATGTCAAATTTATTTTAATACTAAATTTAGTTGGATGATTTTAACAAATATACCAATAATAGATCCCACATTATAATAAGACTTATATGTAAGCAATAGTTTATCTTTTGCGTGACCTGATTGATGATATATTTTTTTTTACACTAATAATGTATATAACTAGTTAAACTTTAAATTTAAATAATATTGGTGATTAAGATGTTGCCATAAATCTAAATCCCACTGCAGTGAACCTCATGCAAATTATAGAAGCCATGGTCCACCACAATTAAGTCTTATTACATTGTATACCAAAAAGAGATAAAATTGACAAGCAGCTAAGATTAACTATCCTTTCCCTTAAAATAAATTACTAATTAATGTTGTTTACATTCAACGACCAACAACGTACCCCATTTTCTCCAGTGTTTTTTTTCTCACAATTTTTCCCTCTAAAAGATAACTTTTAAAATCAAACTTAAAGACAAACATTCTTCCTAGGCCTATAAAAACACCTTGAAATTATATCATAGGTTACTTCATTCTTTCACTCATACTAGGTTTTATCATTAAAAAAAACACAAAAAATGGAACACTCATATTTTGCTTCATCTTCTAGTACTGTTGAAAATCAAATTGAACCATTTGATTTTTTTGCAGATAAAACACAAAATGCATTTGAATTTCTTAGTTTGTCTCAACCATCTAATCAGAATATTGAAAAAATGTCAAATTATCAAGAAAACCCTAATTGGGAGAATGAAGATGATGTGACTGTTGCCTTACACATTGGCCTTCCAAATTCTAGCAATAATAATATTCCAATTGATCATAACAAAAGTGATGGAAATATTATTGGAGCAGCCACTCAATATTGGATACCAACTCCTTCACAAATTCTTGTTGGCTTCACCCATTTTTCATGTCACATTTGTCACAAAACTTTCAATCGCTACAACAATCTTCAGGTGCATTATTTATTTTTCGCATATTATTTACATTACTATATTCTTTTTCTTTAGCTGAAAGGAAAATATGAGGTGTCTGCTGGCATAGTCTAACAAAAGAAGTTCCTAATTTGTTTGTCTCAACTACATAGTAGACAACTATTCAACATCTTCTATACAACAATAAAAAAACACATGATACTTAGTTCTCAACATTTCAACGTATATTTCTGAATAATCACAAAACTTTCAATCGTTACAACAATCTTCATGTGCATTATTTATTTTTCATTACTATATTCTTTTTCTTTAGCTAAAAGGCAAATATAAGGTGCGTGCTAGCATCAACATTATCTGAATTAAGTCTAACAAAAAAAGTTCCTAATTTGTCTGTCTCAACTACATAGTAGATAAATATTCAACATCTTCTATACAACAATAAAAAACACATGATACTTAGTTCTCACGTATATTTCTGAATATTTGTTTCAATTATTCAACTATTTCATTTTACAAAGCAGATGCACATGTGGGGTCATGGTTCACAATATCGAAAAGGACCAGAATCACTTAAAGGAACACAACCAAAAGCCATGTTAGGGATTCCATGCTACTGTTGTGAAGAAGGGTGCAAGAACAACATAAATCATGCTAGGGCTAAGCCATTGAAGGATTTTCGAACACTACAAACACATTACAAGAGGAAGCACGGGACAAAGCGATTCGCCTGTAGAAAATGTGGCAAGTGCTTGGCTGTGAAAGGAGACTGGAGAACACACGAAAAAAATTGTGGAAAACGTTGGCTTTGTGTTTGTGGTTCTGATTTTAAACACAAGAGATCTTTGAAGGATCATATCGCGTCGTTTGGTCAAGGTCACGGGCCAAGTAATTCATTTGATGGAGTTGAAGTTCAGAGATCAGGAAATTTTTTCATTTGATATGCACATTGGAGTTTCTTTAGGAATTGAATTAAGAAGAATTATCAATAGGTATATTTGTGCGTTATGAATTGCAACTTATAGCACAAATTAGTAAACGTATCAAAATTTATGCCCTTATTTTTGTCTTTTTAAAATAAGAGCCATCAAGGTCTTGTGCATGAAAATCTCCATATAATTCGCTCTTTGGTACGAAAAAATAGAAGGGATGTACTAACACAAAAGTAGTCTCTAGACTATGTTTTTTTCTAAATCGCTGAGAAGTGCTTCTCTATTTGAATATCTTTGCTATTTATTCAATCATCAAGGATCAACAAAATTGAATCTTGGGAATTAAATCAAATAGAATATATTTATTTTTAATTGAATGTATATTTTATAATATGAGTTTATAAATTTTAAAGTTTAACAATTGAATTAAAGTATTTGTTTTTATTTCTAAAAGTTGATCAAATTAACCTTCGATGAGTGAAATTGACATGTAAAAGAGTAAAAATTATTTTCCATTTTAGTTTTATGTAGAAGTTATTTTGGACCGAGTTGCCTTCTAAACTCTATATATCACCAGTTTTTTTCTAAAGTAATTACTATACATAATGATTTTAATGAAGTTTTTCTTTACAATTCCTTAATGATTTTGGTGAGATTTGTTTCTTTTAAGTTTTGTACTACTTGTACTTGTTTCAAATGGTTTCAACTGATGTCCCAAATCACTCATCCAATTACCGCTTGAATAAAAAAAATAGACAAATATATAATATATGTATAATTATATATAATTAGTGTCTAATTTTTGTA